AGAGTACAGTAAATAAAAAAATAAGGAAGCATCATAGGCTGATGTATGGGGACAGACTACTTCATTGGTACTGAAGAAAACGGCAGAAGTGATACAGAATGCCATAAACTCATAGAATTGAGGGGTTTGGAGGAAGGAAGACAGGACCTCTGTCTTTTTAAACTGAGAAAAAGCCATCAACTCCATTAAATACAATTAAAAATATAACTGCCCAAATTGCAGCCTCGACCTAGTCTTGCATGAGACTGATTCTCCCAGTCTTTTCTGCGGCTAAAACTGTTGAATACCCCATAGAAACCTATCCTCTGCAAAACCCTCATTTTCTGTGTTCCGTCATCAAGTGTTTCTGAAGCTGTCTGTGGCATTGTGAAATTAATGCTGGTAGGACTGTGGCAGAAAGTGGGTCCCGAATGGGTGCAGGTGTGCCTGAGTGACCGTGCCTGAGCCGGGGACATGGGGATCTGCAGCGGGGGCAGACAGACAGGGCTTGCGACTGTGGGATGCCCTCATCACCTGGAGGAGAACCCAGAGGTCATGGGACCATGCAGGAAATTAATCGTGAGGGTGCTTGAGGGCCAGGGAGCCAGCTCAGCAAGGCGCTTTAGCTCCAACACAGCTCTGAGCATGTGAATATTTCTGTTAAAGCGGGGCGGGTCTCGTGCTTCTGGTGAGGCACCTGCGAGAGTCCTGAAAGCTCAGTGTGTCTCCACAATGAAACATCGGTGTTCACACAGGGGAGGGGGCATACCGGGGCAGCGATGGGGGGGCATATCTGGGCAGTGATGGGGAAAAGCGAGGCAGTTGCTGAACCTTCAGCACACCCTGGGAAGAGAAATGATGTAGGAAAACAAGCTATGCAGAAAACTACCTCTTAGCATCAAGACAGCCTTCCTGCCTTGGGAACCTCAGTGAAACCAAGGAAAAAAAAACCTTAGACAATTCTTTATTTCTGTTTGTGTAGTAGCACCTTGAGTCATCTATAAACTGGAGTTAAAACCCTTTGCCTCCAATCAGAACGAAGTCCAGGCTACTTCAAAAGCCAGCAAAATATACAGGCATTTGGGAGGGTTTATTGTGAACTGGAGTTGTCTCAAATGTCTTTTTTTCTCTGTTCTGAAGTAATTTTCTGTCTGAGTGATACTGGTTGTAGACTGGAGTTCAAAATGGGCCAAAGCACGGTGGGATCCATGCTGACGTTTGAGAGCCAGCTCAGCGGGCGCGTGAGCATTGCGGTCCCACTGGGGTGGGAGCGGGGCTGGGGTCATCCCTGGCAGCCGTGGAGACACACAGCCCCTCTCCAGCATCAGGAGAAGGCGAGAAGCCTCGGATGGCCTGTGCTGTGGGTGCTGAAGGCACCACCTCACTTGGTGGAGGCCAAGGGAGGGAGCTGGGGTTTCTTCTCTCTCCCAGCAGACCATCGGTGGGGCTCAGCTCTCTGTCCTCTAAACATGTAGTGCTAGGCACAGGACTTCATCCCTGCAGTGAGATCCTTCGGTATGTAAATATAACCTCCTCCGTGATTCATGCATTAATGAAAAATAGCAGTTCTTTTAAATGTTGTCTTCTCTGTTTCAGTAAATAGGCTGATATCCCGTGCCTTGGTGACCGGCCTTGCTGGTTGTGTTGCACTCCTGGCTCACTTTCATTAGGCTCTGCAAATATACTGCCATTCTCGCAAAAGCTGTGTGGAAGGTAAGCCTGAAGCTCTCTTATGGTCCTCAGATACCAACTTATGTATTTGTGTCCCTCTCAATTACTGTACTTCCAGAGAAAGCACATTTTGGTTTATTATTATCCAGTGTTTTCAATGGCCTGGCAGGAGAGAATTAAGTTCTAGCAGAAGGGAAAACCAAATGTAGCCTAGGAAAAGTGAGTGCCATCTGAACAGATGGGATCAATAAATACTCTTCTATTTAGCATTATTTTCAGAACAGGCATTCAGTACCTAGCTCCCAGGTGAGACTTTCTGCAGCACATGGTCATTTTCGTGTTACAGATTGATCGACCTTATTTGTAACCTTGAGGGCTGTAACACCCATAGTACTTGCTTAGAGACCCACTTTGCGAGGTGCAGCTAGAAATGCACCAAAATTAACAAGTCCATTGAAACAGACTATAAATGTATGTATAAAAGCATTTCTGAGTCTTCTTTATTTGACAGTCTTCGTTGGCATGACCGTCAGATCTGAAGGAATCTAAAAACCTATCGGTGTTTGGGAGGAGGACCCAAAGGGGAGAGCAGGAGCGAGTGGGGGAGGACACGGGCCCCGGGGAGGTGAGGGGGACAGCCCGCTGGCGTGCAAGGGTGTGTGGAGCCTCAAGGGCAGAGGGGGAGAACGATGAAGGCATTTGCAGCAGAGGGAATGCTGATGCCTGAAGTACCATTATCATATGCTGCGGAGATGTGCATTTCAAATACCCACATTTAAAATCCTTTGCCTTTAATTTCATGTTTGCATATTGCATGAGTATGCATTTGACCGAATAGCTGAGCATGTGTAAAAGGCGATTCTAAAGCAAGGAATCATCACTTGAAACCTGCAGCTGGAGAAAATTTATTCAGGCTTTCCAGATGTACTCAGGCTCAGCTTGGCTGTGGTTAAGAGCAAACGGAGAATTTAACAAGTAAGCAATATGTGATTTTATTGATAACGGTTGGGTATGGTCGTGCAAAACCGGATGGATCCTGCTGGCAGCTGACCAGGGGGTAACACAGCCAGCAGCAAGGCAACGCAGCAAGCACCATTCTGAACTGCCCCACACCACACTGCCTGGATCTGCCTCAGGGAGAGATGCCACTTCAGCCTCTGCACCACTTTTTTTCCTTCTTGTGTGACTCACTCTTCAGCAACATGTATGGTGCAATAGGTTTTTTTGGGGAAAAAAAAAATCTTTTCACCAAGGACGAGACTGAGACCACAAATACAGTCCACATTAGAAGGATTGGAACTAGCTCCCTTTCTCAACCTCGGTGAACCAGATAATCAGCACTGAATTGCATATTTTCATTTCTGTGGCGCACTAGCGAAGGATGAATGATAGGTGGTGGCAGGTATCTGAACTAGCTGCTCTATGGGGTATTTGCATGTAGCGTACTGAGCCCTGCCGGACAGGAACCAGTGGTCGTCACGGGGCACGTTTCATGCCTGACCTGGTGATGCACATCAAGGTCTGAAGCAAAATGATCTCTGGAATTAAAAGGTCCCGAGTAATTCAAAATTGTGACATATTGATTTCTTTGTTCAGACACCGTATCATTTGTAAAGCTACAACACAGCACCATAACTCAGTGTTTTTCTCTTTAACGATTGGTAGGTAGCCCACTTACAAATACTGTTTTACCACTTACTGACATTTTGTATTTATTGAGCATATATTTTATCTAGGCTTGTAAAGACAGTGCAGGAAGATAAAGACAGTGCAGAAAGTTTTTGATAAACGGAAAAATATTTCAGGCTAACCAAAAGCCAGAACACATGACGATGGGAGCGCGCTTCTAGCGCGTGATGAGAAGGTGCTGCCAGATGTTCTGCAGGGAACTGGGGAAAGAGGTGCAAGCCGGGCAGCTGTGAGTGGCACGTGGAGAGCTGCACTGGGAGGGTACCAGTGCAAAGCTGTGTCCTGGACACCAGCAGGCTGAGGTCCTGAGCCTGGTGTGGAATGAGTGGCGGTGCTCTGAGCTGCCCACTCATTTTCCCCACAGCAGGCACCTTCCTAACCACGTCCTGCAGCAGCAGTTGGAGGGGCAGCAGGGAAGGGAGCTGTGTTTTCTCCAGGCGCTGGGTGAAGAAGCTCTGAGTGAGCCGTGGGGTGGGCACATAAGGACCAGATCAAACTTGGGTGTTTTCTGGCCACAGCAAACAGGCATTAGTTTTTTCAGACTGTAGTATCTGCACTCCTAGGTCAAGGTAACGTAACAAAAAAGCCACAGAACTCCCCCTTTGACTGTACTGATCTATCCTGTAATCATAAGACTGTATAATAGCTTGTGTTAGATTCCTGGTTCCATATTTAGTCACTTCACTTAAATTTAAGCACAGAGAACGTTTTGGGGAATTAAGTAAATTATTAAATATAAATTTAGAAAACTAACTTCCCATTCACTTTTTGATTATAAATAGCCTGTAGATACTGTGTTTTCCTAGGCAGGATGTAAAATAAGTAAATCGTGTACAAACAAGCTGGTTTTGCCAGTTAAAGGTACAAAACCTTGTAAACACTTCTGGTTTTAAGAGGAAGCTGAAATGATACATTTTTCTTGCAAAACATCAACCTCATTAGATCTATTTATTTAAAAGATATTCAAAAAACAAAAGCACAGAAGTCTACTTTTATGGGACACCATGACTGGGTGTCATATGATGAAATACAGTCACATAAAATATATACATCCACATCCGAATCATTCACCATGGCTCCATTTATATTTAAAGGAAAGATATTCACTTCTGGGGAGAAATTTATCTCATCTGAAAGTGAACATGTTTAAGCTGGGATCTTTTTACACATGTGGTAAAAGATTTTAGAGGGGCTGGTTCAGCTACAGGTGAGATGAAGCCCTCCTGCCTGAGAATGAGAGATATTTAGGGGAATTAAAAACATTCCTGTCTTCATGTGAAAACACAGATTGCTTCCTTTATTCAAATGTGGTGTGCTATGAGATGGTGGCAAGCTTTTAAATGAGTGTTTCCTATATAGCCTGGTACATAACAACTTCTGAAGACACGAGGTTGAATGAAGTCACATTTTAACATGGACTAAGCTTGATAACTCTAGGTTTCAATTGCACTTGCATATTTAATTATGTGGGAAAAAAAATTTAGAGACTTGGTATGGTGCATGCCCTCATGTCTATTTTGACACGAGTTACCCTGTCAGTAATTCACGCTGCCTGCTTCAATTTCCCCTGAAATTAGAGCCAAAATTTTCCTTTATCTTCCCTTTCCTTTTTGTGTGGAAAATGGCTGCCACACTGTCTCCCACATCACCCTCTGCCTTACAGCAGGGTGGGGTTTTCCAAGCACGTACCACTGAATTCAAAGGGAGTTTTGCTGTTAAATTCCCCAGAGCACAGGATTCGTCGGTGGGCAGTCCTCGGACGAATCCTGCCCCTGCCAGAGTAATGCACCCACCAGCTGTGGAGGGCTCCGGTACCCCGAATCTGGGCAGCTTCGGCGAGCAGCGCACCGCCAGGCTCGTTGCGCATTGCCTGTGCGTTAAGAAGGTCATGCAGTGTGTGCTCGCTTTGGCAATTCTATTACCGAAAGCCCATTCACCTCAGAGTTATTCTTCCCCCAGTTATGAGAGACTTGGAAAGAATATTGGGTTAAATTTTTATTTACATTCATGAGAAAAAAGAAAAATGTTTAATGAAAGGCTAGGTGCTGTAATGTTCCAGAAAGCTGAGAGGAGCAAATCAGAGAACTGCCATAAATGTGCAAGGTGATTACAGCAGATAAAGCCCCTGAGCAGAGCTCGCGGGCCCAGGCACAAAGAGCACTGAGATCCGCAAAGCGCAGTGAGGGCAGGGGCAGCCCGGCCGCGCAGGAGGCCTTCCCAGGCGGCGTTACAGCTGGAGCGTGTTACCGAGCAAAGAGCAGCTAAACTCCTTAAAAAAATGGTTGGCAACACTATGAAAAAAACCCACCAAACCCTTAAGCTGTGAAAAAAATGAAAGTCTCGTGCTGCAATTCCTGGAAACCGCCAGTCAAATCAAAGCAGGGCGAGAAAGCTGTTTCTAAACCCCTCCTGTGAACCCGGTTCAAGAACTTTTTTCTGTGGTATTTGAGTCATTGTATTCAGTTACAGAAGCGGAAGTGTTAAAAAAATTTTCAGCGTGCAAAACATTCAAAGCTATTTTAATTTCGTAAATTCTTCTTTAAGAAGGAACAGTTACAGGGAAGGGTAACTAGTAATTAATGTAGGTGGTGCTGTCTCGGGAAACATAGTGAGCTTGACTGCACAAAGAGCTTGTTTCACGCTTCTCCAGCTGTTGCCTTTTCTCAAAAAATATTTATTGAGGAGCCCTGTTAGTTTGAAATAATAGTTTTCATAGGATTTCCTCAATGCACATGCTATTCTAAATTTGAACAAAACAAACATTCTTTGAGTAGATGTCCGATACTTTTGTTTATGCTTTATGTAAATAATTTTTATATTTATACATGAGCTGGGATCTGTAATTTGCCCACGATATAGCAATGGATTATGCTGCCATGGAATTAAAAAGCATACAGTTTGGTCATGAGTTAGCTTCATTGCAAGCCCTAAATGAAATCTAATTAGATTAGGGGTGATTGCCTTTCCCTGACCAGGATTAAAATGCTAGCTGCTTTTGAGATCGGGAAAATATTCCCAGGACAAAATCTCCAGAAACTGAAGGATGCCTGTGATTTAATTATGCATCTTGTGATATTTAGTGTTTTTCCCACTGCTCAGTCACCAGAGTCATAAGACTCTGAGAAGCTGAGCTTTTTCTTCAAAAAACTAAATTATCAGTCCTTAAAATTGCCGAGAAAGGGAGAAAAAAAAGAAAGGAAGCTCCTGAGTGTTAAAGAAATCAGAGAGAAAAAAAATGAAATATTTTGGAAGACCTGGGGTGTTCCTATGCAGGCTTTGAAAAGCTGTGCTTGGTAATATCAGCCATTTCTTCTTTCTTTAGCAGTGGTAGGCAACTAACACTGAGAAGAGTGTTAGTTGACAAGAGTATAGTTCCCAGGGATCATTTTTAAACTGTTTTGCACCGCTTGGTCCTTAGAGGAACGCCCCAACCGAATCATGATCAGGCAGAAGAGCCCCAGCCGCTGCGGGAGCAGAGCCCTGAGCCTCCTCCATCCCAGCAGCAGCTGTGCGGGGCAGGAGCGACCCGGCACAGCTGGGGCGGCTGCTGCCTCCTGGCAGTGGCTAATATTTACAGTGCTAACAACTCGATGGCAGCTACCCTCAGTCAACAAGCAGTATTAGGGTTTTTTCTGCAGATTTTGCGGCTGTGCTCATATTCCGGGACCAGCTGTTCGCACCAGGCTGTCCCGAAGGAGAGAGGACGAGGGGCCGGGGGCCGGCACACGGCCACACCATCCCCACGAGCTCCGGGCTGCACCAGGCCTGCTCCTCCAGAACGAAACCTGGGCAATGACTACGAGACACTTAAGATCATAACAACCACTGTGTTGGCTCGGGGTAGCCTCAATACCTCCCTGCAACCACATCCAAGAGGAAAAATATAAGGACTAGGGGATACAGCCGGTAGGCTTTTCCGTAGCGTAACCCCTCGGCAGTGTGAAATCTCTGCATTACTGGTGATCTCCAGACTGTCTTGTTCAAACACTTAAGGGATTTCTCTTCTAGGAGTTTGTCTAAACTCCACTGCAACTCACTTGCCACATGGAATTGCATTCCACTCTTTGGCTGAGCATTGTGTGGAAAAAAAAAATACAATAATTTTGTTTGCATTAACCCTCTGATAATTTCACCACATGAGCCTTGCGGTATGAAAGTAGTGACTAACATTTTCTCATTTATCATCCTCATACCAGTCATTGATTTAACTTTCTTTGTCTTAATCTTTTCAGCTGATGAGCTCTTTTCTATTTAATTCCATTACACCTGGAAGCAATTCTCAAAAAGTTTGAAAAAAAATTTAGAAATGCAGGTTATAAAAAATCCAACCTTTCCAATATGTGTCTTTAGAACAATTTTTTCATTGTCCTTGTAATTAATTTGCCAATACTACATGCCACATTTCTAACAAGCTCTTTTTTTCACAAATTCAAAATACAATAACAAGGAGATGACTATCTTTCACCTGTGGCTGAACAAAAGCATTGAAAAATAGCCAAAATCAGAACAACAAAAGTAATGTTTTGTAAAGGAAAAAATGTTATATGAGACTGTATCATTTACCTGCAGCAGGAAAAAAAGCAAAGAAATATCACTTCAAGGTTTTGTAGAAGAGTCTAATTTGAAGGAACTATTTATAGGTGCTGCATATTATGTTAATTTGGCTTCTGACATAGAAAGGCTTCCTTTGAGAGCTTTTATAGTAAAAGAAAGAAAAAAAGCAAGAGAGCAAGGGGCTCTCACAAACAGAGCTGTGATAAAAGCTGCTGTCATTACAGCAGATCATCAGAAAGAGAGAAGGAAATGGTGAGACGCAATTCATCACTTTGAGAAATGCTCACAAACAGGTCCTGGTTAGGTAGGACTCGCTACAATATTTATGAAGGGGGGTATGTTATCAGAAGAATGCAATTTTCCTCTTTGCAGGCTGTTTACAAACTCATCCCGATTTCCACCACTGTATTTGTTATTGGCAAGAATTCATTCAAATACCTCACTCAAAACAGTAAGAAAAAATTCATTTGTATTGGAGAATAAATTTCATTTCCCTGAAATGTGAGGTTTTTTTGCATAAATGGGAGGTGAAGTTTTCAGCTTGTAGACTGTATGCAAACAGGTCATTTTAAGTGAGTTATGTTCATTGTACTGAGGTCATTGATCATACTGTTTTTTCTACTGCACAGCTGTAGAAAAACAAGCATTTTGATGTGGGAAAACAGACCAGAACTGATGAACTATTGACAATGAGCATAAATAATAGATAGCAAACAGAAAGGTTCTGTGCATCATAGAATTTCAGGTTATGTTGTATTTTTGATGCCTTAAAGCGGATAGTGGCACCCTGGCCACCTTCACTGATTGTTTTTCTCATAAAACTCTGATTTTTTCAGGAAGACAAGAAGAAAATCTTTACAAACGAATGTCTGCAAACAGCAAACATGATATGGATGGAGAATAAATGTCATGTCAGAAATTATGTGGTCATGGTCGCTGCTTTGTGGCCAGGTTCTTTCCACTCTCACTGCAGACAGCCATCACGAGTTAACCCTCTGTGTGGTGAAACAGCCCCCTCACAATGTAGAGATCCTCTAGAAATGTGGTGTTGGAGTAGCTTTATTTTAAAAAAGGTATAAAAAAACAGTAGAAATAATTCACCTGGAGCTTATTATGACTTCTTATTTGTATCAAGATGTTTTCCCACTAATCTGTTCTAGCAGCATTGACCAGACACTCAAAATACCAAAGGGAATCTCATGTTCCAGGTACGCATGGTACAGCAGCATTAGCCACTGTACAGCTGCTATTGGCTGGCTGTCGTGGTGTAACCCGGCAGCTAAGCGCTAGGCAGCCGCTCGCTCACCCCTCCCCGTCCCCCCAGCGAGATGGGGAGGAGAAATGGACAAGAGGGGAAACTCGTGCGTTGAGATAAAGACCGTTTAATAAAACAACAAAGGAAATACCACTACTACTACTACTACTGAATATGCAAAGCAAGCTGCGCACAATGCAGTTCTGCTCACTGCCCAATGACCAGTTCGTACCCAGTCCCTGAGCAGCAATCGTGGAATCTGGAACTCGCGGATTTCATGGAATGCCCTAGAAAGACTGAACTCCTGCAAAAGTTCAAACTTCTCGACAAGAGAGGATTTGAACTCATGGAACAGAGGAAGATCCCTGCTCCTTGGCCAACCCCCATTCATACACTGAGCACAACGTCTGTGGTGTGGAATATTTCCACTGGCCAGCTTGGGCTGGCTGCCTGGCCGTTCTCCCTCGCATCTCCTGCACACCTGCTCATTAGCTGAACATGGGAGACTGGAAAGAGTCCTTGATTTCTTAGCAACAACTGAAAACATCAGTGTTATCAACATTCTTCTTGTATTAAATCAAAAACACAGCAGCTGCTGGGAGGAAGATTAACTCTACCCAGCCAAAACCAGGACGCTGGTGTTTGCAGGGAAGGGGAGGGAGGCAGGAGGCGGCAGGCCAGCCGCTTGCCTGCACGGGAGGTCCCTCCAGGAGCTGCTGGTGTTGGCCGAAGAGCACCATGGAGGGTTTGCCTGGTGTGAGCAGGGATGCAGCACTGCCCCAGGGAGTGCAAAAACCACTGGGGTACTGACAAGGTTTTAAAAATGAATTGTCTGCACTCCAAAATCATCAAGTATACCCATTTTGTATGTTGCCCACATAACACAGGCATGTGAGTTAAGAGCTGAGGCTCAGAAGAGCTGATCCCTGTGCCGGTGCTGCTGGCCGCAGAGGCTCTGCCAGTTTGCGTGGGGATTTTCCTGTGGTATGCGCTGTCTGGTGTTGTCTTAACGTCATCCCAGATTTATGAGCTGAATGGACTCACACTATCAGATCTCA